AACTTGAAGTTCCAAACCGAACTTGAATCTTCCTCTTCCACATCGACATTATTTAGCGGTGGACAGCGGGCTGGGCGACCAATCAGCGATTACCAGGTGGTAGCCCTATGCAAATATGCCGTGTGGTGTGATTCTCCGCCGACCAATCGCCGGTCGCTGCTTTGTCGAAGATCCGCGGCATGACGCAATCCCTGGCTAACCGTCTCAGACCTGAGACGCATGCGCCGCCAATTCAAACACAAACGGTCGCCTCCTCAACGGTCTTTCTTGTCCGTTACCAGTTTAAAAAAAAGGCGGGAATCGTGTTCTTACACGATTCTACCCTGACACTTAGTTTCAGCACGAAACCAAAACCAAGGATAAAATGGTAGAAAACTACTTACACTCAACTTAAAAGGTTCGAATTAACAATATATTTTCTTTTGCATTGACATTATATGATTTCAAATAAAGATTAAAATTACTTACGTGTCATTCACAATCTTAGTCCAAGTCAGTTCTGTCTAAATTTATTCTAATGACTGCATCATGTAAACTACTTTTTCGCAAAAGAGAACGTATAGCAACAAATTGAAAAATCTCATTTGAATTCTTTTTCTATATGAATCCCAGGAGGTAATAATTGAAAATTACAATTACAGTAGACCCCCTATAACGTGGGCTCCTATAACGGAGATTCCTATAACGTGGCGAAAAAATTGCGACAGTATTCGTATAAAGACGCTAAAAGGGACTCGTAAAACGTCGTCGCCGACTCGTGTCGCGACAGGTTGGTCGAATCTAGACCAATAGTGGACGAGCAGCCGAAGTACTTTCCGCCGTCCAGCGCCACGCTACGGAGAGTTTAGGCGGGTAAATTGAGTTTACTATCGTCTGTACAGTATGTAAATTAGGTACCGTAAGTCTAATACAGCACTGTAATTTTATACATTTCTTGTGAAAGAAACATTTCTTATTCAACGGCCATAAAAATTAATTACATTAATGATGTCTACAAAGTTCAACGAATTTTTCGCAGAAAAATAACTTAACAGAAATCGCGGCCGCCGTTTGGTGCGCTGCTCCGCGACGAAACAAGCTTAAGCATTGGCGACGTCGAACGGTGCACTCTCGGTAAGTAATACTACAATTTTTTGTTTAGAGCATAGTTTATACGGATTATTTCCAAAAAATTATACGTATTTTAAAAATATTGAGTCGAATTAGTCTAAAATCGATTAATTTTATGGAAGAAAACTTTTCAAACAGCCGTAGTCCGTAAACTTCACACGTGTCGGGCTGCGATTGACTCATGTGTCTAAGGATTCCTACAACGTGAAATTCGTATAACGTGGAACGTATCTACGCGTTATAGGGGGTCTACTGTATTTACAATATCTGCAATAAAATTTACAAAATACCATAAGATTATAAACCCAAAATGTATAACGCAGTCGTGGCCAAACTTTTATCCCTTAGAGGGCTACTTTTTTGGTAAAATATAGTCTGTGGACGACTATGAATATGGACAAACAATTTCAGGATTTTTATATGCGCATGCGTTAACATTTATTTGCATTGTTCATCGGGACAAATACAAACAGTATTGGTACGTTGCACAGTATTATTGTAAGAATAAATGATCGAATTAAGATTTTTAAACATTAATTTAAGTGAAAGCAAATTGTTCAACTTTAGCTTCGCGTGCTACTTTCAAAACCTTTGCGGTCGACCGGTCGACCGCGGTCTACGTGTTGGCCATCCCTGGTATAACGCCTTATGTGCATGGAATTGGATTTCAAGTTGTTATGATATGTGACAAAGAGTTGGAAATTTAATCTATAATTTTTTTATTATGGGATAAGCGTATGTTTTTGATATTTATGTTGCAACATTCTAGATATATAAAAAATTTTTAAGTTCTCAACATCTATGAATTCATTTAATTGACGAGGACAACTGGATTTTTAAATACGGTTTGTGACTAGAGTGCTGGAAAAGAACTTCAACATTGAGAAATAAACTAACATACCTTGAGGCAAGAATTGAGTTAAAACAGACTTTGTCTAAAGTTAAAATATATAAATAACAGATTTACAGTTTTAAAGTAATTTATAGTTTATTTGACTCTCTTAAATAATTTTAGCTATCACAAAATCATTATAATAAAATTTGGATGTGTATAAAATATTATAAAAACAATTTTATGGCATTTTTATCATAATGAATAAGTTTTTAGTGTCTTATTTTTAAAGGCTAAATTGTTTGAATATTGTATTTTATTTACAAGCAAGCTAAGAAACTAAAAAGTACTAAACCATAAATGAAGGTTATAACGAAAACTATATACTGTAAATTGACCTGAACTTTTCAATGATGCATAAAATATTGGTTACGCATCGTAAACCTTGTTGTAAGGTAATGGAAAGCAAAATTTATCGGAAAAATTACGCTACTGGCTTTATATAATCACTGATTTTTGCATAATTCAATCTGAATAATAAAAGTTAACATACAAAATCAAAATATTGTGATGAAATGAGATTATTTCACGCGAAAGTTTGCTTAATATTGGATTTTTTTAAATAATTCAAAATTTTCACTCTAGTTTAGAGTGAATTTAAAGCCCACTATGGGATAATTAATATTTTTATCAATTTAAATATTCTGTTACTTTTTTGACCTTATTTGTAAAGCAAAATATACATTTTTTTCTAAATTATAAAAATCATTAATAAATAATTTAAATATTTTCAAAAAGTCCCAAAAAGTCATCTAGACAAATTTTAATTTCCAATACTCTTTTATAAACGTATATCATAGATATATCTACAATACAATAATACAGTATCATTTTAAACTATGTACACATATTCCTGTTAGATATTATAACACAAATAAGACATTAAATACTTTAGCAGTATAAAAAAGCACCAATAAAATTCTAGTTTTCGTCAAGAAAGATCAATTGTCTGCCATTAAAAGCAGTCATGTAAAAAACACTTGAAATTCTTCAAACATAACTAACAGGGTAACACAAAAATATTCTCAAGCTTTTTTACTCCAAAGAGCTGATGTCAAAGCTGGGAAATTTCTCTTCCAGAATGGTGAAGCTCATATCCATGGATCAGCAAGTACGGATATAAATCTAACAGGAACAACAATATAAATAAATTTCGAAGGATGCCCGTATTAAACGGCTGATCAACATAGATACAATCACCATTTTAAAATACGCGAAATCTTCCCTCTTCGTCCCTTTTTCCAAAACTGGAGGGATAATCATGACGTTGCCATGAAAACTGGAAGCACGAACTGTTCGGGAAAGCCATAATGACATCGAGATATTTGGAGTTGTAGGAGCTGATAAATTACCTATAATTTAATATAAGACTCGATTAGGGGGTAAATTAAATAAAAAAGAAGTGAATATATTATTTCTCAGAATTTAAAATACGCGAATACTCGTACTTTATATACTTACCATTTCATATATATTTCTCAGCACTAATGGTTGTCGCGACAGGTTGGTCGAATCTAGACCAATAGTGGACGAGCAGCCGAAGTACTTTCCGCCGTCCAGCGCCACGCTACGGAGAGTTTAGGCGGGTAAATTGAGTTTACTATCGTCTGTACAGTATGTAAATTAGGTACCGTAAGTCTAATACAGCACTGTAATTTTATACATTTCTTGTGAAAGAAACATTTCTTATTCAACGGCCATAAAAATTAATTACATTAATGATGGCTACAAAGTTCAACGAATTTTTCGCAGNCTGCGTTGAAAAGTTGTTATTTATACTTTGTTGCATTTTAAAATTAATTTAATTTCAAGAATTTAAAGCAGCTTCTTTTCATTCTGATTTATTTGATGTTGCTCAGTGGAAGTTATTTGAATTCAACTATAAATATTTGATAAGATTTAAGACTTATGAAATAACAAAGAATAGTTCCAATCTAAGTGTCTTGTTTCAATTTACGTAAAAATGGCTTTAATATCAACATTTGTAACGTAATGAATGTTATCGTGATAAATAATTTATTTAATTTCCAATAGTCAAGAATTAAAGATCAGTCTGGAGTAAAGTAAAACGCTTCTAAAAATGTCGATAGGCATCTAACGTTTGTTTACAACATATAACTTGTCGTCGTATTCACAATTAAGTATCAAGAGTTACATTTGTAAGTTAACTAATTACCATTCTCTTTAATTTTAGTAAGTTAACTCTTATTACGTTAACATGCTTCGTAACTTTTCATTTTGAAAATTGTCATTTTCGTTATTTTATATTTATTCCAGACCGAACGGTTGATTACGAGTATGCTAATTTTTGCAATGTCTCATTGTTGTTATCTTGAAAAATTTATTTATTCCCTTCTATATCATATAGATTTGCTTTTATCTCCGTATTTTTATTTAAATACTGTTAGCTATAACATTCATTATTTACAAGTGACGTCAATAGTTTTGAAAGCAAATTCGAAAGCCTTAGAAATGATACATTCAAGTGCAAGATTCCAAATTGCTTCCATTTGCATGCTTATAAATAAAATAACAAATTATCATGAAATTTATAAATTGCTATTTTATGCGATTTCATAAACCAACTGGAATCTTTTTATTTCAATAAAGGCATCAAAGCAGATCAGGAGATCATGAAATGAGAATTAGATGAACTTCTATCTAACTTAGAGACAATTTTAAAGCAGACGAATCTAAAATTTGAAGTTTTGCTATCTTTTGCAAGAAGAACCAAATTTTCTTGCCAAAAACGTACCTTTAGGCCTCTAATATTCATAAAATGACAAAACGTAGTATTAACAGAAAGATAATTAGTTAAACAACGGATTAAAAAAACAAACAAAAAAAACGAAAAAAAAATGTAGATAGAACCTTCTGGTTCTCGCCTAACGAACTGCTGACATTTTTAAGCATTGAACTTAATTAAATAGTTTAATAATTTCAAGCTTTTTCCAAATATTTCATCAATAACTTTAATGCATTATTTAAAATTATTATATTATTGAAAAATAGATATTGAACCTTGTCTAAAAGGCCTATAACCCTCACTGGACAAACTACTTGGCCTGCCTTCGCTACCTGCAGATTGGCTGGATCCAGAATTGTCCTGTCTGTCGGTGCAAGGCACTTGCCTAGAAATTCTTGCATCGCCTAAAACACGAATAAATCTTCGTAAATAGTTTAATTCACACGTTAATAGTTGTTATATATAGATATTTGTCTACTAAGCATTAACAAGAATTAATTTAAAATATTAACATAATATTTTACCTGATGTTACAAGAGAGAAATTCGAAACGATTCTTGGAGGGCTTCTTTTTACTGTAGCATAATGACCATCGCTTTTTCCCTGAAAAATATTAAATATAACATTACCTTCGATTTATTCATTTTATAAATAATACTGAAAAATAATCATTGAGGTATATCATAGCTTTTTATAGTTTATACCTTTTATTTTCTGCTTTATTCTGACAACTTTTAAAAAATTATAATGAAATTAAATCCATTCATTCTATCTATTATTTAATGTAGTTTATCAATTCTAACATTTTCTAATAGAATGTAAACAGCACAAAATACATATTAAATTATTATTTATTGTGAAGTAACTATTAAAAGCAAATTAATGAACTTAAAAAAGAAAATATAAAGATGTGTTTAGAAAACATAATGCGATTTTTGTTGTTATTTTAAACGTAAATATAGAAAAATTATTGCTAAATTAATCCCAAATCAGTACAAACAAATAGACAATTGATAAGAAACAAAATTGTCCTGAAGATGCTCAAAATTGCTTAAATTGTTAAGTGGGTGCTGCAATATGCAAAGTTTTGATGTAAGTTTACCATTTACAATGTAAAGAAAAACTTTAAATTAAATAACAAAATAAAATTTAAAAAATACTTCGTTTGTTAAAAAATATTTCTAATTTAGCCAAAATTTTCAATTTTCCAAATTAAATAAAATGTCTAAATAACAATTTTGTATTAGTTATATTGATCAGTTAAGACTATTGATAAGTTTTACTGAATATTTATAATCTTCGAACACTTCATAGAGCAATAGTTTGTTTCTGACTTGTTTTCCACATGCATTAAAGGAAAGAAAAGGAGTGATCGGTATTAAGTAAAAGCGTGCCCAACTGTTGAAAGTTCGACCCACACTTCACGCTACCACTGAGACGGAAGAAACGAAAGTTCATAATTATTATATTGTAAGAGAGAAAATCTAACAAGTTTTAATTATAAAGTAACATTAAACTTATATAATAACAAGTAATTCTCTCCGTTATTGTTCGGTGAGATTACGTAGATCAACATTTTGTGTAGTATCACTCTACGTGTTAAACAGCATAGCCATACGTTTCTTCAAAAATCTGCGATCTCAATATCCAGAGTTCCAATTTTAAGTTTCTCATAATGATAATATTTTGATTTTTCCGCAATTTCAGAAAAGTAAACGAATTTTAATATTAAAATAAAATTATTTATTTTTACATTTATCCTTACATAAAGTAAAAAAAAACAAACAAGAAAAAATTAATGTACTAAATAAAAAAGAAAATCAATAATTTATGACAATATTACAACAATATTACTTCAAAAATATACTTCAGAATTACAATTGTATGTTGAATTTCTGATAGAATCATTTAACTTTATTTATTATTGTTAACTTTATTAATATATTGTTATTATATGATTTTTAATATCGACATAAACTTGTAGGTCTCAGTAAAAATCAACTTTGTAAAAGAAACAAATATTTTATGTCTATGAATATCTGGCTTCAGATATACAGGATGTGCCGCTCGAAAGTACCCAATTTTAATTCGCCATAAAAATGAATGGTTTAAGATATGTAAAAACTACAAGTGATATATGATGGAAGATCTCATTAAGTTTTATAAAGATTTTTTGCACTGCAAGATAGCGAAGAAGTCGAATCGTGAGTATTATTGTCTAGTCATGGCTTTACCATAGGAGCAAGCGCAAGTCTTGGTCTGGTATGCCGATAGCATGGCCGCCAAGATCTCTCGATCTGATTCACCTTAGATTTCTTTATATAGGGTTACGTAAAAATACCGTTTATGCAACTTCGGTCAGAGACCTTTAGGATCTTCGGGAGCCCATCATCGCAGCCATCGCCGCTGTGAGACAGGACACGCTGCAGCGTATATAGCAGGAAATTGTCTACCGCTTTGATGTTGTCAGTATGACTGCTGGAGTACTCAGAGAAATGTGCTGATTTGTTTAAATAAAATTCGGTGAGATTTTTTCTCGTATAAAGTCTTGGTAATCTTTAATAGTTAATTTTGTATAGCGAAATAAAATTGAGTACTTTCGACCCTATATACTAATGACTCTCCCCTTAACAGTTTTTCAAATCCATCACAGCATTTCTCATCGTTGAACACTCTTTACATCTGTGTTGAAATTTATAGTAGTCTAATTCTTTGTAAATAATATTAGTCAAAATTATTTATAAGGATTAATTAATTATAAATTATAAAATTTTAAATAATATTAAATGTTCAACAAAAACTAAGCGATATGAAAATGAAAGAAAAATCCTTGTTTAAAACACAACATTAAACATCATTAAAAATAAGCAGACTCTACAGCAGGGGTGTCCAACCTTTTTGTTCTTCTGGGCCACATTAGAAGAAGTCATGGAGTTTTGGGCCACAAATACATATAATATATTTGTGACCCAATCCTTAAATATACTTGTATATTTAAGGATTAACACGTCTAGATTATAGTAATAAGTATCAGGATAAGTATTAAATTTTATCACCAACAAGGATATTTTAAAAAATTACTTCTACAGACTCTTTCAATTTTTACTTAGAAATAAATAACTTCATTTATTATAAAGGAAACAAACAAAAGTTTATTTGAAAATACAAATTTTTGTTTTATTTGGGTCTGTAATTAATGAAAGTCGAGGAAACACCAATTTTTTTAAGCAAGAAATTCCTGCGGTACCTGTTGCCCCCCTTTTTTTTTTGCTTATACGATTCATATACTCCACTAATATTCAATAGAACTATTTTAAACAAGTCGCTGCACTACCGCCGAATTTTTCATTGCTTGTTCTGTGACAAAACTGAATTTTGGTCTTTTAAATTAAAATACTTAAATAAGGGGAAAGCCGAAATTTTCCTCTGCCCCGGGCGGCTGACACCCATGGTATGCCACTGTTCCTTATTGGGCCGCATTGGAACTTGCCTTGGGCCGCATGCGGCCCGCGGGCCGCGGGTTGGACACCCCTGCTCTACAGACATTCTACGTTCAGACGTCGATAGACATTCAACAGACAAATATTCTACGTTAGAATTTAAGCAGACGCTTAAGATCTAACGCACTTACTCAACAACATTCTATTAGGTATTTATGACTAACCATTGATACACTTAATGTTCAATATATTTTACTTTTACAAAATTTCAGATTTGTCTGACATTAGTCACATCGTCTGACTAAATAGTTTCGTTTTTCTTCAAGAAGTCGGTTTTTGTTTAAATATTTCACTTCAACAGTGATGACAAATCTAGATATGAGCGATAAAGCCAATGTAGATTTATAGGCCTATATAGGCCCTATATATACATATAATATTAATAACAAAACTGAAAAAAATTTAGTTAGGCCTATTGATAGATTCATTTAAGATTAATAATTAAACTTTATTTCTATTTACAAAAAAATTATACTGTATATTTGTTAACACATGTAAGCTGGAAAGTTAACATAACATTACTTTTGTAGACATAAAATCAACAGCTAACAAAATAGTGTACTGTATATACAAATATATTCTATGTAAACTACAGTATTTTGTTAGCTGTTGATTTTATGTCTACTAAAGTGAAGTTATGTTAACTTTCCAGCTTACATATGTTAACAAATATACAGTATTTTTTTTCGTAAATAGAAAAAAAATTAATTACTTCAGTTTTGCTATTGATTTCATTTATTAATTTTGTCGTCCGGATAACCGTGCTCTAAGATATCCTCCTATTAGAAAGATTTATCCGAGAGACTTTTGTAAGATTGATTTGATATCTATCTTAAAATAGTACCATCGTAATCTGCATACAACAAACCTAGATTTAGTCCATTTAAGATAATTCTGAATGCTTGTAATTTAATTATGTAAGTTTTCAACAGAATCGGTAAGCCTGCGATTCCGGATAGATTAAAAATGGAGAATGAGATCTTAACTTTAATTAAATGTGCGATCAAGATGAGACGTGAAATAGGATATTTATCATAGTAGGATGATATTATATCCCTCGACTATCCTGCAATGATCTCACGAGTTCTCAAGAGTACAGTACATTAAAGTCGAGAGTAGCTTCGCCCTAATTTCCTGTTTTCTAAATGTTGGCTTGGTGCATTGTAAATGAAGTCATCATCCCTAAATACTTTTTAAAATAGTAGTTATTCAACATCGAATATTAGATAAATAAATTAATAATAAATTAAACATTAAATTTTGGATTTTTCAGTTTATTCATATTATAGTAATTTAATTCACTAATGTCCAAAAATAATCACAATCAAAATATCTCACGAACTACTAATCAGAACAGTATAAAAATTTATTCAGCAAAACAATTAAAAAGCAAATTTATCTATATTACCTCAAACTAAAAACAACACAAAAAAGTTCTAAGTATTGTCGTAAATTATTTCGCACAGAAAATGATTAATAAGGCGTATGGTTACTGCTTGCATGCATATAATTCGCACAGCAATTGTTCATGCTGGTTATAACTTTGTTTATCAGCTCTGTCAAGAGTGAAGTCCATTCTTGAACAAGGGCAGCTTGAAGTTCCTATAGTATTCTTGGTGAAGGGTAATGGAATGGAATTCGTCTCCCTAGTACTGTACTGTACATCCCACACGTTCTCCGCGACAGAGATTCGGAGATCTTGCTGGCGGACTTTCCATAAATAATATCTTCACTGTCAAGAAAGTCATTGACTAATGAAGCTCTCCATGAAAATAAAATCTGTATTAAGCATCTCGGAAAAGCCTCACATAGGGTTTTAAAACCTTTTCTTTGTACCTTCTGCAATAATGGAACTTCTTGCAAAAACGTGGGGCTCAGTGCAACAATTAAGCATAATTATTCCCCAGATCATGATATGGTGTAATTCCAACGTCTCATTCATTCTGCTTCCCTACTGTTGTGAATTCCGGTACTACCCGATTGTCGACCCTGTTTTAGTTATATTCAATAATATTGCTTAAAAAAATGCGTTAGTAGTAGAAAATACTGAAATACGTTGGTGTTCTTTCAAAGAAACATCAAAATATTGATGTTATTTATATT